CCCTTTCTCAGCCCCAAATACCCCCTACCACCTACAGCCAACTCAATTATGCGCAATGCGCCTTTTCGTCTCCTACTGTCTTTTCCATTTCTCCTTCTTCTTTCTGGCCACTCTGCGCCACCTCTTGTTTTTTCCACTCTTTCCTAGTGCCACCACACACACACACACATTGGATGCACCTTAAGCAGGATTACGAACTTTTTTGTGATAGTTACAGCTAGGTTCTATAGTCGCATTTACTGAGGGTTTTTTTAGTTTGAATAATATACTCTTTTGTTATATAAACCATTTTTATTTCAAGGTTGTGTCGGCCTCAGGATAACATTGCATGAAGAAAACAAAAATGAATTATTAATTATCAATTTCTTTGGCATAATTGAGGAGTTTAGCGTGCGCATTGCTGACAAGTAATTCGATATAAATATTTTGTAACCATTAATAATAATATAACATAATAATATAATAACGCGTGAAAGTAGCTCAATACCTTCGGATTATCGATTTGTCAAGCCTGAAACGTGTTCAAACAAATTTTCCATTTATAGAACAATCTTTAACCGTTAAAGTTTTTGTATTATGGACCATTGTTCGTAAATTAGAACATATTTTTTAATTAAAGTGTGGCCTAAGCAATGATCTCATTGTGTTACGATATTGAATAATCATGATCTATGGATTTTGGGTATTTTTATCGTACAAATGATTTATCTATTTGAAGAAGTTTGAAGCATGTAAGCAAACGAAAGTCAGCTGCTATAATAATAAACACTCGTGTCACGTGCAGCCAATACGCGTGTCAGTTGCAGCCAATACTCGTGTCAGTTGCAGCCAATACTCGTGTAAGTTGCAGCCAATACTCATGTCAGTTGCAGCCAATACTCGTGTCAGTTGCAGCCAATACTCGTGTCAGCTGCAGCCAATACTCGTGTCAGTTGCAGCCAATACTCGTGTCAGTTGCAGCCAATACTCGTGTCAGTTGCAGCCAATACTCGTGTCAGTTGCAGCCAATACTCGTGTCAGTTGCAGCCAATACCCGCTGTCTCTTATACACATCTAGATGTGTATAAGAGACAGACATAACACAAACGATAACAATACGTCATAACCACACATAACACAAACGATAACTATGCGGTATAACCACACGTAACACAAACGATAACAATGCGTCATAACCACACGTAACACAAACCATAACAATACGTCATAAGCACACGTAACACAACGATAACAATGCGTCATAACCACATATAGCACGATTGATAACAATACGCCATAACCACAACACAAACGATAACAATACGTTATAACCACACGTAAGACAAACGATAACAATGCGTCAAAACCACACGTAACACAAACGATAACAATACGTCATAACCACACGTAACACAAACGATAACAATGCGTCATAACCACACGTAACACAAACGATAACAATGCGTCTTAACCACACGTGACTAACGATAACAATACGTCATAGCAACTCGTACAAAACGATAACAATACGTCACAGCCCAACGCAACAAACGATAACAATACGTCGCAACCACACGTAACAAACGATAACAATACGTCATAGCCACACGTAACAAACGATATAAATAAGTCATGGTCACACGTAACAAACGATAACGATACGCCATGGTCACACGTAACAAACGATAACAATACGTCATAACCACACATAACACAAACGATAGCACTATGTCAAAACCACAGAAATAATAACAGTGTTTCGTATAAACACGAAACGTAAAAGATAACAGTATGTTGTAGCAACATGTGACACAAACAGGGTTTCTAACAAACTCGAATATTACTTTCAAAGAATTTCATGAAACTACTTAACCCTCTACCGCCGTATGTCACTTTCCGCTGGAACATAACTTTCAAACGAAATTATACGTAAACTATTGAGTATATCAACATGAGGAAATTTGTACCCAACAGATAACATTTTGGAGTTGTACATGGCGGCAACCAACAGTGCTAGTCATTTTGCGCTCACTAGAACGTATCCTTTCTGGTAAGTAGGTTTGTGACAATATTGCTCCCGTTACTCATGTTAGGCGGTAGAGGGTGAAAGCCATGCATGTTAGAATTGCTGTATGATAAACATGTTCAATATCAACAGCCAAGACGGTCAAGGTGAACACGATTGCTTGATTTTAAAACCAAAATCATTCATCAATTTAGAGCTGATCCTTAATTGATCGCAATGCTCCCTATGTCTAAATTTAAATTCATTTCCGACGGTATGATCTATTTTTACCTGTTTAACTGCTTCTACTTAATTTCACCATATCGAGGTTAGCGCGCAGCCACGAGATTTCAGCCTTTGCCAGTTCAGCAATAGCCACCACAGGATGACGACCACCTCTCTCTACCTTGTCGGGGTCCATTCACTAAATAAATTAAATTATATACAAGTAAAGCCGTCAGTGGCCCCCAGACATTTACTTATGATCGTGATGTAATAACTATCGCCATTAAGAAGGATGAATAAAACCAAATCAATGAACAAAGATAATAATTGAAGCAACCTATCAATGAATACAAAACAATAAATAAACAAAACAAAAGCAGTGCGCTTTCTCTAGGCCGACTCTTTAATTTCAATAATGATCTAATCAAGTCCTTATTTCGGAGCCTTTCTCTGTGGTGGAATCGCCCGCATAAATGACAAGGTATAACAGGTTCCTACGCGAGGTCACGTTGGTGGTGACTAAAAACCTAAAAGAAAAATTACGAATCTAATTTTTATAATAACATTATACATCCCCTTACAACCTTCTATTTCTCCGTGTACGGATCTTCCGTATTGGCCAATTTTTGACTGAAAGATGACGACCGAGAGCGGCTGGCTATCCTTCGGTCGACCCCGTCAGCGAGATGGCACTTCTTGGAATGTCGTGGGCACCCGACGACGTGCAGCAGGCCGGATACGTCGCCTGCTAACCTCTGCGTCGTCGGTAGAGCGTTATAGATGCCTACTGAAGTAGAGGTGAGTCGCAGAGCACTGAGATGGAGTGTCATACCTGTATGCCCTTTCCTTTCAGTTTTACAAGAAAACAACTAAACATTTTAAAACGCTGTCAAAAAACAAAACTGTCTGTGCTATTAGAGTTAGCAATTTCGCAAGTGACGGTATCACTTTCAAACTGCTGCCGTCCACCTCACTTTGTTTCAGGACATAAATGCAGAAACACACTTCTGAAATTTTATCTTGATTTGTTTTCATGGCTGCTTGACGAAAGTGGTAGAGCTAAATGGTCGGGAGAGAAATAAGAAGGCGATAAAGCTAGTAAAGTTAGATTTTTGGCAAAGTTAAGTCCGTATTCTTCGCACGTTATACGTTTCGGATGTCATCGTCAAACAAATCAAATCGTCCAATGTTCAAGATTTCCATAGATGTCAAGTGTAAGTTTCGTTTGACTTCAGTAACCTGAGAACGACAACGAATTCGAGAAAGCCAATTTTGAGAACATATGACACGGAAATTTTAAAAATCTTCCAGAACTAGAGGATTTTTGGATACATATGAAACCAAAGGAGCGGAGGAGCTAATGTTGTCCGTTTTGTACGCACATCACGCCACGCAAGCCATCGGGGGAAGCGTGAACGCGGCAGACGAACATGGAGCAATGCACGCTTCTCCGCCAGCGTGTTATGTGGCTGGCTGCTCAGGGACGAGTAAGTGGATAATGTTTCTGTGTGATTTTATATTAATATCTTAGCACAGCGCGTTTACGATGCAACAAGATGCACAGGAATAATAACACATGACGTTGTTTCAACAAAACAACAAATCATGTACAAAATTGTAGTACAATTGAAGGATATTAGATTAAGGAAATTGCACCTTATGTAATATGTTACCTATGTTGTGAATTGGAATTCCAAATCATTACTGCACCGTGACTCCAATATTTGCTTATAGTCACGAACTATAGTCAGCCCAACCGCACGGCTAGCTAGCGGCAATAAATCAACAGTCAGTAGAACTTCAGATCCCATTGTACATATTGTTAAAAAATGTTCATTTTATATATATTTAAAATTGTCTTACGCAAAAACTATAGCACGCACAGACATGCGGTAAACTGCGTTAGACGCGCTTTTTCAGCAGCTACAAAATGAGTCAAGAAAACGGAAAAGCCAAAATTTTCGATTTTTAGGGTAGACGGTCCCCTTAAATTCGCAGTAATCAAGACATTTTTTCCAAACTACCGAACAGACTTGAACGGAATTTAGTATTTATATACCTAGCCTCAGCAATGGTGATGTTTACAATTTTTCCGTTTTGCGTTCGTTTGCGAGCTATACGGCTATACGTATAAATTTTCTAAATTTATTTATTTTATTTTCTAAATTTATTTATTTCTAAAATTTTCTAAGCATGTTGAAAAGCAAGCTAACACATCCAACAAACTTCAAACAAACGATTAATCAAACGCTCATACGAGTTCTTAATTGCAGAAGCGATGAAGCAGTCGTTTATTGCTGTCGTGCGCCCGAATCTAGAGTTTGGAAACGTTGTGTGGTCACCGAGATTTGAAAAGGACAAAAATTTAATAGAGAATGTTCAAATACGCGCAACAAGGATAATTCCAGGCTTGAAGGGCAAGTTCTATGAAGAAAGATTGTCCTAGGAAAGATCTTTCATAGGAAAGTCCTATGAAAGAAGCTTCCCAACCTCAGTTATCGACGTCTGCGTGGGGAGCTCGTTGAAGAATACTCATGGTTTATACAAGGTCTCCAAAGGATAAGTAGAATTTGAAACAAGAACCAACACCAGGGGCCACGGCTATCAACCTCCCTGCAAACTGCATCAACCTCCCTCTTTAATTTAGATTTCACCGTAGGTAACTTGAACCGAACAGGAATAACTAATGTAACTAATGTGCTGTCTCCTGAAATGACCAGAAATATGGTAAATTATTTTTATTTCGAATGTAAAATGCTTATATAAATTTAAATATTTTTCTCAAGCAAGTCAAAGATCTCTAAAATATTAAATCCTGAACACACGTAGCAGATTTGAGTCCATGTTTAGGTTTACTAAATACTTCTAAACTCTTAACAGGTATCATTACGGTCAGCTCAAGGTCTGGTTCAAATGATATTTCTTTTCTGAATCCGACGGTTGATCATTATTCTTTACACACAACGGCTTAAGATATTGGAAACTTTAAAAACAATTTGATTCATGTCGTTCGTAGTTTTCGGTGAATTTAATTAGTTCCCACTAACTCCGTTATAGCGTGCGGGGACTCCAGCAATTGAGTTCGTACAAGCAATTATTATTACTACATATAGTTGGATGCAAGTCAAATGAGGGACAGCAGCAATAGCTGAAGTTTTCACTTTGACGAGCTGGTAAGATTATATTTATTTCGATTTGGCTTGTAAGTCAATTTAATTCAACAGAAGTTGTCGAAGCCAGAAAAATACCGAGCAAACTTAATCAAAGTTTAGTCTCAGAATGAATCATAAAGAGACAAATTTTCGATTTAAAAAAGCCTAGGTCAAATATGATGTGTTGTTAAAATATTTTGGGGGTTTAAAACGCACCTAAATTATTGAAACAAGTTATTGTTATTCCGAAATTGTAATCATAATGCATAAGCTATTTAAATTTTTTATAACGCTGGACTTCAAATTCAAAGGTCGCTGCTTCCAAATTTGATCGCCTTCTAAACTTGTGTTTCAATGACAGAAAGAAGCTAACAGAGAAATTGACCTAGCTTGTAGCTAATCGATACCGAAATTGCTCAATGCAAGCTGCTTTTTTAACTCGACTGCCTTTTCGTTTGATCATTTGCTTTGTCTCATACCAAATTCTTCTGGACAGAAGTGACCTACAAAAAACTAGAGAAATGAGATACGAGTAACGAAGCAAACAATACAAATAAAGACAAAATTGTTTTCTACTCAAGTCTGTATAGGGCTTCTTACTCAAGCTCTCCACGTCGTAACATGTGTTGGCCACTCTAAGCGTCGCGGCTCCAGAAGAACAGTTCTTTCATTTAACACAATAAATCAAAGCAAGCAACATCCGTCGTTTGACTGCTATTATTTAATTGCAACCTCAGGCGACAAAGATTCACACATTCTAAAGACTGTTCTTGCACTCAACTCCTCACGAACAGGCTCCATCCGATAATACAACGGTAGACCAAACCTCTGAAGTTAAAATGCTATCCAATAACATTACTTAACACCAGCTAGTGGCTCCCAAAGTTTTGCAGGCTGGTACCTAGCTCTTTGGCTCCCCAGTGAATTTCTAGCGCTAACCACTGACACATACAAACACCTCTTTCTTGATATTTGGTATACTGCAATTTGAAACGAGAATGGTTGAACACTAATGTGTATTTCACAAAAGAAAAAGTTGGTACACCAATATATATTTCAAGCAGGTTTCATTGAAGACCAGAGAATTTGTTTTATTCGCAATTTTCTTATTAGTTTTTTCAATATATCGTACAATATTTTTAGTTTGAACTGGCAAATCGAAAATCAGGTTACCGATGGACATTTTTATTTTTATCTTCGATGTGAATTTAGTTTTCTAATTGATTCTGCTTTTCTTATAGGTTTTGAACTTTGAACTGACGATGGAGCTGGACTCCGAAACGTTTTCATTCTTAAGAAATGGTTAATATTCTGGCTGTTTTCTTTGCTTTTAAATTCCTGACATAATCTTTCTTATTACTTAAAGGATTCGGTATATCGTGTTCTAAAATTATAGGGAACGTCGAGCCCGGGCAATACCGGGATAACCCAGTACCAGTATTTATTTTCCTTTATTTGATTGATAAATGTCATTATTGAAATTTTGCCTTGGAACTCAAATTCGATATCTCATACCAGGTGCCGCTGCGACTTCCTTCTAGACCACCACTTACATCTCCGTCCAGCACCATCCCAACTGATCAGACGACGGTATCTACATAGAAGTGAAATATTTCTGTTACCGCAATGTACTGTACTGTAAAGTTTTAACTGTGGCTATAAATATAGAGGTGGTAAATCAAATTCGCGACACTGTTTGTACGAAAAGTCAAATAAATTTGAATTAACTCGATTTTCGGCTTCCCACCGACGATATCAAAGTTATAGGAATAGGCGACCAAATTAAGTAGACCAAAATGTTGAATACAACTCGTAGAAACGAAATAAAAACGATTCTGCAACTTATTCATCATTTCAGGTACCGTTCACTCCCGCGGATTGTTGGGAGCGGCCGGAGAAGACATCGGGCGTGTACACCATCTACCCCAGCGGCGCTGCCGTCCACAATACAGTCTCTCAGGCCCAACGGCCGTCCTCGAGGTCGACCTGTGGCTTTAAGTCTACCCAGTGTAGACACCCCGAAAAGAAGAAGAAGAAGGCGCTGCCGTCCAAGTTTACTGCGACCAGACGACGGACGGCGGCGGCTGGACGGTCTTCCTGCGGCGCCAGAAGCAGGAGCCTCAACTCAACTTCAGTCGAACCTTCAAGGAATACGAAGAAGGCTTCGGCAGTCCCAGTAGCGAATACTGCGGTATGCGGGCAGAGATCGTCCGAGGAGTAAACCGCACCAGCGGCCGCTACCTGGACTTTAGGTGAGTCATGCCCCGTGGTTGTAGCTTAGAGGGAGTGTTGGGGTACAGAGGGAGTGCTGGGGTATAGAGGGAGTGTTGGGGTATAGAGGGAGTGTTGGGGTAAAGAGGGAGTGTTGGGGTACAGAGGGAGTGTTGGGGTACAGAGGGAGTGTTGGGGTACAGAGGGAGTGTTGGGGCACAGAGGAAGTGTTAGGGTACAGAGGGAGTGTAAGGGTACAGAGGGAGTGTTGGGGTACAGAGGGAGTGTTGGTGTACAGAGGGAGTGTTGGGGTACAGAGGAAGTGTTAGGGTGCAGAGGGAGTGTAGGGGTACAGAGGAAGTGTAGGGGTACAGAGGGAGTGTTGGGGTACAGAGGGAGTGTTGTGTCACAGAGGGAGTGTTGGGGCACAGAGGGAGGGTTGGGGTACAGAAGGAGTGTTGAGGTACAGAGGGAGTGTTGTGGCACAGAGGGAGTGTTGGGCACAGAGGGAGTGTTGGGCACAGAGGGAGTGTGGGGCACAGAGGGAGGGTTGGGGTACAGAAGGAGTGTTGAGGTACAGAGGGAGTGTTGTGGCACAGAGGGAGTGTTGGGCACAGAGGGAGTGTTGGGCACAGAGGGAGTGTTGGGCACAGAGGGAGGGTTGGGGTACAGAGGGAGTGTTGAGGTACAGAGGTAGTGTTGGGGCACAGAAGGAGTGTTGTGGTACAGAGGGAGTGCTGGGGTACAGAGGGAGTGTTGCGATACAGAGGGAGTGTTGGTACAGAGGGAGTGTTGTGGTACAGAGGGAGTGTTGGGTACACAGGGAATGTTGGGGTACGCAGGGAGTGTTGAGGTACAGAGGGAGTGTTGTGGTACAGAGGGAGTGATGGGGTACAGAGGGAGTGTTGGGATAAGCAGGGAATGTTGGGGTACGCAGGGAGTGTTGGGGTACAGAGGGAGTGTTGTGGTACAGAGGGAGTGATGGGGTACAGAGGGAGTGTTGGGGTACAGAGAGAGTGTTGGGGTACAGAGGGAGTGCTGGGGTACAGAGGGAGTGTTGGGGTACAGAGGAAGTGTTGGGGTACGCAGGGAGTGTTAGGATACAGAGGGAGTGTTGTGGTACACAGGGAATAATGGGGTACACAGGGAATGTTGGGTACACAGGGAATGTTGGGGTACACAGGGAATGTTGGGTACACATGGAATGTTGGATACACAGGGAATGTTGGGGTACACAGGGAATGTTGGGTTGGATACAGGGAATGTTGGATACACAGGGAATGTTGGGTACACAGGGAATGTTGGATACACAGGGAATGTTGGGTACACAAGGAATGCTGGATAGACAGAGAATGTTGGTACACAGGGAATGTTGGGTACACAGGGAATGTTGGGTACACAGGGAATTTTTTTCTATGTAAGTTTCGCTCAAATTGCGAATTTTTGTATATCCGCTTGAATCTGATATATACCACTATGACTGATAGCTTTAATGATACCAAATGTGAGCTTTACACGGAAAAACTCGTTAAGTTATCCAGATCAATGTACATAGGGCATTATGCATGTAATTTGATCCACCAGAGTGGAAGGCGGTAAAAATTACACACTGAGGGTCGGCGGCTACGACGCCAGGAGCAGCTCTGCCAGAGATGCCCTCACCGTCCGTCACAACGGCATGCAGTTCTCGACCATCGATCGTGATCGTGATCGTGATCAATACGGTGAGATCGAGCAATGTTAGGACGGTTTATCTGCACATATCATAAACATTCAATAAATCATGAACATTATAAGTATGCCCCATACTCTCACGCACCACGTCACACACCAGCACTACCGCGTGAGTGCAGGCACTGAAAAGACGAGATAGGAAGGTAATTGTGAAGGTATCAGGTACTGGTAATGATCGCTGGTGTATTGTGCATTGTGAAGGTATCAGGTACTGGTAATGATCGCTAGTGTATTGTGCATTGTGAAGGTATCAGGTACTGGTAATGATCGCTGGTGTATTGTGCATTGTGAAGGTATCAGGTACTGGTAATGATCGCTAGTGTATTGTGCATTGTGGAGGTATCAGGTACTGGTAATGATCGCTAGTGTATTGTGCATTGTGGAGGTATCAGGTACTGGTAATGATCGCTAGTGTATTGTGCATTGTGAAGGTATCAGGTACTGGTTCAATGACGATGTCAATGATGAATATGCAGGGCACAATTCAATTCTTCTTCACTCTATGATTTATATGCCATTTAATATAAGTAATATATATAAATTTATTCTTTTAAATGTACACAATCATCATTTAAGGCTTAAAAGACTCACAACATCAGTAAAGAGAACTCACAAAAAAGTCTTATTATAACGTCCTATGACGCACACATGACGTAAGAGGACGCCAGGATCAGTGTCTGTTTGCCGCATTACATTTCACTGAAGTAAACTGCAGAACATCATCAAAATATCTGTAGTAAAACTCATCATGATACAGTGAAATAAACTTCATTCAACTTCTTGCCAGGAATTTCGCTGAGTCGTAACTGTAGATAAAACGCCGTGTCATGTCTTGCTCTTTTTCAAAACAAATAATTGCCTAAAAATAAATGGCTTACCAATAATGAACGTAGGATTTTAACTTCAGAATATAACAAAAGTTTCATTAAAGTCACTTTTGAATGACTGCTACTTAACTGTGATGTCCAAGTCGGATTAACTAAATGCATTCTTGATTCTTCAGGAGGAAGCTGTTCAGAGAAGTACGGTGGCGGAGGCTGGTGGTACAGGAGCTGCTATCGTGCGAACCCTACAGGCGAGTGGGCCGGCGACAGACCCTCCGAGAAGACCACTGGAGGGAAGTTCTTGGTCTGGAATATCAATGTCTACCAGGCGCACGTCACTGAACTCGCCCTCATGATCAGACCAAAGGATTAATATGTACAATATGATGGATCATGTAGGATATGCTCAAGGGCAGCAGGAAGTGCTCCAGGACATGTAGGGCATGCTCTAGGACATGCAGGAGGTCCTGTAGGACATGTAGGGCCATGCTCTAGGCATGCAGGAAGTCCTGTAGGACATGTAGGGCATGCTCTAGGACATGCAGGAAGTCCTGTAGGACATGTAGGGCCATGCTCTAGGACATGCAGGAAGTCCTGTAGGACATGTAGGGCATGCTCTAGGACATGCAGGAAGTGCTGTAGGACATGTAGGGCATGCTCTAGGACATGCAGGAAGTGCTCCAAGACATGTATGGCATGCTCTAGGATATGTAGGAAGTCATGTAGGACATATAGGGCATACTCTAGGACATGTAGGAAGTGCTCCAGGACATGTATGGCATGCTCTCGGACATGCAGGAAGTCATGTAGGACATGTAGGGCATGCTCTAGGACATGCAGGAAGTGCTGTAGGACATGTATGGCATGCTCTAGGACATGCAGGAAGTCATGTATGACATGTAGGGCATGCTCTAGGACACGCAGGAAGTGTTGTAGGACATGTAGGGCATGCTCTAGGACATGCAGGAAGTGCTGTAGGACATGTATGGCATGCTCTAGGACATGCAGGAAGTCATGTAGGACATGTAGGGCATGCTCTAGGACACGCAGGAAGTGTTGTAGGACATGCAGGGCATGCTCTAGGACATGCAGGAAATGCTCCAGGACATGTAGGGCATGCTCTAGGACATGCAGAAAGTGCTGTAGGACATGTAGGGCATGCTCTAGGACATGCAGGAAGTCCTGTAGGACATGTAGGGCATGCTCTAGGACATGCAGGAAGTGCTCCAGGACATGTAGGGCATGCTCTAGGACATGCAGGAAGTCCTGTAAGAAGACATGTAGGGCATGCTCTTGGACATGCAGGAAGTGCTCCAGGACATGTAGGATATGCTCTAGGACATGCAGGAAGTGCTGTAAGACATGTAGGGTATGCTCTAGGACATGCATGAAGTCCTGTAGGACATGTAGGGCATGCTCTAGGACATGCAGGAAGTGCTGTAGGACATGTAGGGCATGCTCTAGGACATGTATGGCATGCTCTAGGACATGCAGGAAGTGCTGTAGGACATGTAGGGCATGCTCTAGGACATGCAGGAAGTGCTGTAGGACATGTAGGGCATGCTCTAGGACATGCAGGATGTCATGTAGGACATGTAGGCATGCTCTAGGACACGCAGGAAGTCCTGTAGGACATGAAGGGCATGCTCTAGGACATGCAGGAAGTCAAGCAGGACATGTAGAGCATGCTCTAGGACATGCAAAACATGCTCCATGACATTTAGGACATTCTCTAAGATATGCAAGACATGTTGTAGGACTTGCGCGAAACGCGCTAGGACAAATAAGACATGTTCTCGCACACGTGGCACATGAACATAAACATGCTCTAAGAGATGTTAAGAAATGCTCTAGGACTCATGTGACATGCTCCAGGAGATGTAGGACATGCTCATGAATATGCTTAACACATGCACTCGAGGACATGTATGACTTACTCTATGACATGTAGGACATTTAGGATATGTGTGGCATTTAGGACATGTTTTAGGATATGGATGACATTTCGAACGTGTTTTTGGACATTTCGGGCTTGTTTTAAGACATGTAGGGCATTTAGAATATCCTCTTAGGACATGTAGAACATGCTTTGGGACTTGTGATATGCTCTATGACATGTAGGACATGCGCATGGACATGTATGTCTTACTCGGGGCATGCATGACTTACTCTATGACATGTAGGACATTTATGACTTGTTTTATGTTATGCAAGGCATTTAAATTATATTTTAGGACATGTAGGAGAGTTAGGACATGTTCTAAGACATGTAGGATATTTAGGACATGCGCTAATACATGCGGGAGATTAGGAACATGCGCTAGGACATGTATGATATGCTTAAGAACATGTATGACATACTTAAGGACATGCATGACAGGCTTTTGTTCCCCTAGATAAAGTTATGTGCAATGAACTAGGGCTGCATTAAATCCATCTGATTGGCTGTTAGGATAACTGTTAACGATTGGCCCTTCCTTGAACGACTTTTTAAACAAATCTAGGATTTAGTTCACGAAGAACACTACGTAATGGCATGTTTCTGTCAGGATCAGCGAGGCCGTGTGATGGCACTTGGAATTATCGAGTCGCGTGGATCGCAAACCCCCGGACTGAATAAGATGTGCTATTTGCACTCATTGTGCACTTTGGCTCAACTGTCCCAAGGGCTTATCTTCGTCTAGGTCGTTCCTATGATTTCTAGCCTGAATTCCTAGACGTATTGCTTATTATACTATAAAGTTCATGCAGATTCAAATGAGCTGCATTACAAGCTCAATAATTATCATCCTGTTTAGTCACGAAATGATTGTTCATCTGTAATCGAGGCAGTTAAGGCTTATCTCAAAGCGCGCTGATAGCAAGAATATTTTAAAGGCTTAGAAGGACTCATTGAATTGCGTATGGATCGCTTTGCATGTGAATGCTTTCAGCCAGATTGTAATTTAGTTAATATTATTATTAGTTATTGTTAATGTTCTGCGAAATTTTCTACGCCTCGAAAAGGTTACCTTTAAAATATTATTAATGGAATTCTAATTGTGATTCAAACTCCTGTTCGCTGATAAAATTTCGTGTAGCTCAACATATATTTTTTAATATAATTTTGATTGAGTGGCTCTATCCTTCAAATTATGAATCCTAAATTAATTAACTGGAATTTGATCCAAAATTGTAGGCCGCTCAGTGGTCACTCCGCATGCCAGGTTCCGCAGGCCAATACAAAAAAATTTGCGTGATATAGTTTGAAGAACATTCAACTTGTTTCAAAAATAACTAATGCTAAAAAAGTTAGTACTGGTACTATTAGAAACTGGCCTGCCAAGTAGAAGGGACAGAAAGCGAATTCAAAGTCACACTCATTACTATGGATGGCGAGCGCGACAGCGATATTGATAACGCCGACTATGACAATAGGTAGCAAGGAATTTCTGTCAATCTACTAGAACCTGAGCATTTTTTGACAAGTGGAACTGGTGGAGCAGAGGAGGAAAAGCTGTCCGTTTCGTGCGAGCGCGACGACACGCAGGCCATCGGGGGACGCGTGGACGCGGCAGACGAACAGCTACGAAGCCAGCGCGCTTCTCCGCCCAGCGTCTTAGAGGTTGCCTGCTAGGGGACGAGTAAATGACTTATGATTTACGATGTTTCTAATGATTTGAAATGCAATACGATGTACATGGATAATTATTATACCTAATATTGTTTCAATATGATGCCATTTTATAAGAGTTAGGCATGAATAATAGTAATGAATCATGCCTGAACAATTGAACATGTTGATCCATTCTGAACATTTAAATTACTTTACGCGTGAGCAAAAGTTCTTTCGAGTTAATTATCACATGGCAACCGAAACCTGGGCTTAGAAGAAGCAATAATTTAGCTAACAAAAATTTATGCTGCAAGCGTTTAAGACTTATTAAAATTCATTGGAATGATAATTATAGACAAGTTTACGATATTGATCGTGGTTCCAATATATTCATTGAACTTGTTCTGTACGCTATTGTCTTCTAAATGAGAGACAAATTCAACGGTTTTTTAGAGCAGCTTTGTACATGCTCTAACGTATCAAGGTATACAATGGATAAAGCTTCAGCTGGCATGTCCTGTCTTCCATCGGTTTTAAGAACATCAGCATGGACTGCTGCAACGCTTGAATGTTGTTCGCGTGGAAAACAATATCGCGTCGCCCAGGTGTTCTGTTGCAAACTAAGGTAAACTTTAATAATGGCTACCGAAATATGCCAAGACTAGTTGTGCGGAAATGTTTAGAAATCTTTAATTCACAAATTAAATCGCCCAATTATATCCTAAAGATTACCTTCAGGAATGGGTCCACTAACATCCCAATAGCCAAGTGACGCTTGAAGAGTAAATCAGTAATGTGATTAGTAAAGTAAGATTAGCCTATAAGAAAAGTAAAGAATTAATATAAGCCTGCAATTATTAATATAATTAGGGAATGTAATTGACCAGGCTTATCTTGATTGAGTGAATACAGAATAAGCATGCAGATGAGAATTTGAAATTTAGTAGCGCAAATTATTTATTAGCAGAAAAAACGAGGTTGTCACATCAGCTATCTTCGAGTGTTCTTCCTTACACTTCAAGGTTGCGAATGAAGGCTATTTATTTCTTAAATTAATTGTTGATAACGGGGAAAATTCAATTTGTTAACTTCACATCGTTAGATTTTGCTACAAGGATGGCAACTTAATGTAAAATTTTTAATACAATTATATTATCTTTTTTGCACAAAATCCGGAGAATAAGTTTTCGATTTAGACTCGTAATTTAAATCTTTTTCTATTTCATTTATTTGGAATAGATTCACGAACCAAATAATCATTACAAATTTCTTAAGCTTTCTTAAACAATCATATTAACTGAAGATATACCCCTTTGTGCGCTCACACCATCTATCGCTCAGGATGTGCAGTCGTCGTCAACAGCGATTAGTTTTCTCGAAATTATTACTGAAAAATAGTTGCTTCGTGTCCTTATCTCGGTCTTCGACATCCTACCTAAGGATATATAGACTTAAAACTCCGGTGAAAAATAAAAAGAAACAATACGTCTATGCATTTATTCAATGATTTGAATACTACGCACTAATACACACTACATAATCACTAACCAGCTACCTTCTCGGAGAATTGCCTTGTAGTTGATGATTGAAAAATATCTAGAGTTCTTCGGAACCTATAAATTGATGAAAGAAGCCTTCCTCTTGAATTTACGAGCTAGTTTATTCGTTGGGAACTAAAAGTCTGAGGTTCATTTAACACAGAACTTAGCGAATCAGCATAATTTAAATAACAGATGTAACAGATTACTTGAAATGACTGTAAGCAATACATCGTTACTTCTTATCAACAATCATCAACATCATAACATTCAAATTGATCGCAATCCTGCAGCAAAGATGTCCTCAAGATGTCAGCGCTTCTCCTCAACACAGCGCAATCCCGGGGGCAGATCCTGCACCGTCCGGTAGACAACGGCAACGCTGGCTACTGTGAATTTCACGCAGGAAACATAACAATATTTTATAACAACACGTAACACAAAGGATAACAATACGTCATATAACAACACAAACACTAACGATAACAATACGACACAACCACACATAACACAAAGGATAACAATACTTCTTAACCACGCATAACACAAACGATAACAATACGTCATAACCACACAAACGATAACAGTACTTCATAACCATACAAAATACAATAGTATTTCGTATAAACACGGAACACAAACGATAACAATACGTCATAACCACACACAACACGAACGATAACAATACGACATAACCACACAAACGATAACAATACGACGTAACCACACATAGCACCAAAGATAACAAGACGTAATAACCGCACATAACACGAACGATAACAATACGTCATAACCACACAAAAGATAACAGTACTTCATAACCACACAAACAATAATATTATTTCGTATAAACACGGAACTCAAACGATAACAATACGTAATAACCACACATAACACAAAAGATAACAGTACGTCATAGCCACACAAACACAAACGATAACAATACGACGTAA